GCGCTCGTTCTCAGGTCGCGTATAGCCGTTGATCGTACCCGCTTCCCTACATAACAGAAGCTTTACGAGAAACGGGTGCCCTTTGTAAGGACAGGTAACACAGTGACACGTGACCACAGCATAACGCACTCCTCGACCACTGACGGAGAACGTTTCGTATGGTTACCAAAGAACTCCATTTGTAGGTAGCTTAGAAGAGGCGATAACTTCGTCCCATTCACAGGGCTGATGAGTCAGTGTATGATATATCATCACCGACAGTTACACTAGATTAGAACACTGGCGCTTGATTACCGTACAACTGTGCCAGTTCATTTCAATAAAGCTTTATAATCGAAAGAAGAGAGAGATAAGGAATGAAGGGGGACCCAGAGCTAGTCCGCCTCCAGCAGCTCCAGCACTCTGTTAGACGATCTGAATAGACAGTGATTGCATGAAAGCCACTAACATCGGTTAGGCACCATGTCGTTCGGTGTCTGCAGTCAAGCATGAGGGCATAAGTGGACCAGATTATGGTGTGGTGGTGAACAGCACTTTTTGTTGTCTGCTGGGTTTTGTGGTTAAATAAGGGGCTCTGATCAACATTTATTCTCTGAGATGAAAGCAGTCATGGACAGGAAAAACCCCGGGGTGGAGAGCCGGAAACATCATACGGTGGATAACCTGTGAACCGCTTGCGAAGTAATGCTCTATCCTCTCGTTTGTTCCTTCAGCTGCACTCAGCAAGAAGGAACAGCGCACTGCGCAGTGAGCGTGAGGTACACAAGTGTACGACACGTTGGAGTCCCTTCTACAGTGTGACGAGAAAACTGTCGAAAAAACGTTTGGCTTTGTGTACAATTGTTTTCTTGGTGTAGACGTGACATAAGTGGGCCAGGATACCCCACACAAAAACTGCAGTCTTCACGATGGAACGAATGCAAAGAGAAATCACAGGACAGAGTAGAGAGAGGAACTCACCTCAAAACATTCCACTTCTCATGAAGCACATTCGACGTCTTTTCTTTAGCTGTTTTGACCACCGCCGTAGTCCGTTGAAAGCTGTGAGAAGAAAGTAGGCAGGAATGAGTCTTTAGGCTGGAGTACACATGACAGAGCGACACCGATTCATTGCGTTTCCCCACCTAGCGTAGAGTACCAAAGTTCACAGTGACACTAAGAGTTTCAGATCCCCACATGGGGCTGAGGCGCGAGTTGCTGGTAGAGAGGTCGGGGGTTCGATTTGAGCAACCTACCCATTACTGACAGGTAGATATACTGTATGCAAGAACGTTGGAACAGATGCCGGGACGTCGCCCTATTGAAAAACGAGCAGTTTGAAGCAGGATCTTCGTCAGCTGCTCAATCGCTGTGCGCAACTCTATGCTAGCGGAGAGCGATCAACTAGTCAGCACCCGAGGGAAAATGCATTGATGAAAACGAAACCTTTACCAGAAACACTCATGTTCCTTAATCTTTCGTGATCTGACAAAGCATGAAGCGAATTTCTGTTGCGGCTTACAATGATATTCTAGCTAATATGGATTAGATTACAGCTACTGGCAAACACACATTTGTTTGTAATCGATAGACCTGAAGAGCATGTGAGTTATACGCTGGTTTGGAACTCACTCGCAAGCATAGACTGATTCAACAAATACACTCATTTGCATACCGATTTGGTTTTCACAGAAAACTCAGATGAATCCATCGTTTAGGATATTCTTCAACTGAATGTGCTGCAAAAGGGCCCCTCGAGATATCGCAGTATATTTTCACAAAGGTAAAACCGGTCGTGGGGTGTCGAAGTTTTCAGCTACCTTGTGGTGGCTTGCTTTATGAAAGTATGTTAATTCACCCCAAACCAAGTGGTTAAAGAGCGAATTTACTGACCAGAAGGTTTGTGGTTCGAACCCGACCTCTGCCTCTCGACTTCCCTTGTCTAGACTTTGGCAACTTGGCAGTATCTCAGCTCTCGTGCAACCTTTGGGTGGCATGGCATTTAGGCACCGAAAGGGTGCTACAGCGCACCTCAAGCCTCTGTGAACATTCTTGATTTCTGCGTTGAACAACAATAAGCGATAGTCAGCAGCAAATGTGAGCTCTGCGTTCACATTTAGAAAAGAACTCGTAAGAATTGAAGCTGATATGAGTTCCGTTACCATAAACTACCCGGAGGAGCAAATTGATTTAAAGCTGATCGACTGCGTCAGATTCTGCTAAGAAGACCGCTAATTTTGGACGCTTTCAATAAGCACGCAGGCAGATACTCGGAAAGCTGGTGAGCCGACTTACAGACCAAGAGCCCCGTGTGCGGTGACTGTCAGGCAAGGCACAGTAAAGACCTGCACAATTGTGAATACGGCAGACACGGTATGGTGCAGCCATAGTTCTTGTTATGATTACTGTCCGACCACATAAGAAAACACCTCGGGTGACACTAAAAGGGTTCCACACCGGGAAGCGTCTGACTAGCGAGAACCACGACTTACGTTTTCCGCAACTGGGTGGCTATATTCCTGTTGCGTTCGGGTGCAAGGGATATTCTCGCCTCCTCTCGTCTGGGGACAAGATGGCTCAAGTGACTAGAGCGCGAATTTACTGACCGGAAGGTTCGTGTTCGAACCCGGGGACAAGATGGCTCAAGTGACTAGAGCGCGAATTTACTGACCGGAAGGTCCGTGGTTCGAACCCGACCTCTGCCTCCCGACTTCCTATGTCTAGGCTTGGACAACCTGACAGTATCCCAGCCCTCGTGCTTCCTTCGGGTGGCACGGCAGCTAGGCACCGGACAGGTGTTACAGCTGAAAGATTTTTTTTATAATTCACGCCTCGGATGCGCACATTTTTCGAAGCCGTGACCAGAACAGACTAACATAACTAGGCGAACACATCCAACGGTAGCCAACCCCTCACTACTAGAATTCCTGCGCCACGTGGATGAACCGGAGTACGAAAAAATAGGTATTGTCACCAGTATCTAATATCTATCTAGTATCTAGCATAGCAAAGAAAAGAAGCTAGACAAATACGGGGTATCGACGTTTCGCTTTATCCCGTTTTCTAGCTACCTTCATTGCCTTCGTGCTGCGTCCGTTACATGCTCAAACGATCAGTGCTGTAGGCGCGTCGTCGATCAGATGGTTGACCGAGCCAAGTCACGTCCAGTCAATAGAAAGACGTTGGTATGGTGGGACAGTATATCACTGGTATTGACTGCATCATTCCAAAACGTGACAGTCCACCAGTAAATTTGGGTTAATAGTAAACGGCAGTTCCGTGGTGGTGTCTTCCCAGCTACTTCGAACACCAGGAAGTACGCACTTCTCAGCTATGGATGAGTATCTTCTCGAAATGAGGGGAGGAATATATTTTGAAAACATTTCACACCGGCGAACTAACCACCTTGATGGGGACATTATCTTGTTTTAGGGGATTACCACAGGGGCAGCAATGTACTTGGATCGGGTTTGGTACGCAAGCAGACTAAACAGAAGCTCCAGCAAGCAATTTTATACACTGACACAGTCACAGCAGGTATTCAAAAGTTCAAGACGAACGTGACAAACCTAATGCTCAGCACAAATTTCCAAACGCAGAGATGGGAAAAGTGCGGATCCCTCTTATTGATCTGAGTATGCATCTTGTCTGAATAATGGGAAGTGGAAACAGGGATAGTGAGGCATTAGTATAAAATATTGATTGAAGTAAACAACAAGGAACTGTGTATTATGTGCTCCCATTGTTTTTGACAATGTTCCGGTCATTGGGTACTTATCAGTTACAATCTAACCAGTCCTGTCACGCCCCCATCAATATATTTTTCAAAGAAAAATGGAGACGACATAAAAACTCACGCTTCACTTGTCCGCAAATTGTCTATCCCTTTATTGACCTCCTCGCGTAATTCGTTTATCACAGTGATACCCAGTTGTCGCTTCAAGAAATGCTGCCGACGGTATTTGGCGTTCAATACTTGTTTCAACGTTTGGATTTCCTCTTCGACCTAAGCGAGGTACGCAGAGTGAGAGGTCAATATAATAAGCTACGTTGGAAGGGGAGACAGAGGTTAATGAGAGGCCAGCGAACTTCACGCATAGACAGAGCTGTCTATTCTGTTGGGATTTTGGAAAACGGTCTTTCAGATAGAGAGAATGGTAAAAAATATAGACTGGCAACAGATTCCCTAGAAGATGAATATTTGACTCAAGATTCAACGGACGTGATGCAAAACTAGGGATTAAATCAGTTATCCTAGGACCGAATCAAACAGGTCTCGAAGGTAGTGCCCGTTGGAGGAACTAGTTGAAGCGTGGCTTGTTTGAGTGAAAAAATCATTCAGCTGTAACACCCTTTCGGTGCCTAGTTATCATGCCACCTGAAGGCAGCAGGACGGCTGGGATACTGCCAGGTCGCCCAAGTCTAGACAGAGAAAGTCGAGATGCAGAGGTCGGTCAGTAAATTCGCACTCTAACCACTGAGCCATCTTACCCCCGCTTGTTTGAGTGAGAGGTCACGTGCTTCTCTTGAGTCATCGGTGCCGGTCCAAGTGGTCATCGAGTGGTCCAAACTAATTCTCGGTTACCAGTCCGACAGACTCAGATCAGAAACTGAATTGAAGACCCAAAAAACACAACACCGGAAATCTCGCTCATGATTCCAAATAGTAAAAAGGAGGATGCCACTTTATCGACCCTTTTGTAGAAAGAGTATTCAAACAGAGGAACCATACTTCCATAACCACAACGGAAAGGCCGTAACTTCGGGAAATGGTAGGACAGTGGGTGGGTCATTTGAATACCGCCTGTTGCGAATCGCCGATAGAATACGTACCAGGGGTTCAGAGTAGGGAAGGAGTTCGCAAGCCTTGGAGGTTGGGTCATGATACATGCAACATATTCTGCCACATAGTGCCGGGACCAGATAAGACAGGGACTAGGATGCCAACTAACTCTCCCAGTTATTACTTGCCGCTAGCTAGGCCTGGCTGCCTTGTAGTTGCTTCTGTTACTTTCGGCAAATACCTATAGAAGCATCAACCCCCACGAAATTTAGAGCAGAAATGAACAAACGTGTAAAACCTGCGAAAAAGTAATCCTCAGTGGACATGTGGATTGAGAACCGGCTGGATTATCGTTGCACTCTACGGCTCACGGGAGGTATATTCTCAACATATACAAAAATTTGATAGTAGAAACCTACTTTGGACTGAAGAGTTAACTGTGATCGTGGCAACTTTGAAACGGAGGTTCACAATTCAGATCGCTCTGGAACTGGTCCATGTGAACTCCGCACAAAGAACAAAGAATAGATTGAAGTGATCGCGCGCAATCCTCGAAAATAGGGGGAAACCACAAAAAAGGTGGACTAAACGGTACAGACGTAACCGCGAAGTTGCGCAGCTACAATTCAGAGCTACAAAATGAAGTCTTGTTATGAAAAGGAGAACTGACCAAGAAATATCGCCTAGTATGTGCTCGGACAATCTGGATGGAAGGCGATAGCCATAAAGTTCATTTCCCTTAGACCTCTCTGATAGCAGGGTTGGTCAACTGAGCCCTATTTGGAAGGAGGGATGCATCAACGGCATACACATCGTCACACGCTTATGCCACGCAGTCCAACTATATTTTCGCGCCAGCTTAACCCTTGAAAGCTCAAAGAAAACAAAGGCTGATTGGTCTAACGGTTGAACTAACATCACATGCGTTCCGTTTTGTGTCACCACTAGAAACAGCTCGACATAGCTCAGTGGTTAAATCGATAAGGTCTGTGGTTCCAACCCAGGGCAGGTATCTCGACTATTCTCGTCTAACCTTGAGTAACCTGGCAGTAGCTCAGCCCTCCAACTTCTTTCCGGTGTCATGACAGCTAAGCACCGAAAGGATGTTACAGCTGAACGCTTATTATTATTATTAGTAGTAGTAGTAGTACCATTTGAATGCTTCGTATAGTCGGTCCAACCTGAATTATTCGGTTTCCTCGTGCTGGCTGCATTCACATAACTGTATGACGGAGAACAACCGTGTTTCAAATCGTTGTGGAAATGGACCAGTGACAAAATTACTCGCATATCTTTACGATTGTACATCCGGTCGGACTGTGGGAAGCGAAAACCCCGCTTTTCTGACCAGTTTAGGAACGAACTCGGGAGAAAACGAATGTTCTTGCAGTACAGAGAACAGCTTATCCTCGGCGACTGATTTACACTCTGATAAAGGGGCTATCGTTGTACGGGAAAGGTGCTCTATAACCCATTCAACATTGAACTAGATAGCTCATGAAACGCGACGTCGTCATGGTCGAGTATCAACTCCTATAAGAGAGCAACTCAACGTCAATTGAGTTCAGTGGTCAAAGTTTAACCTCAGATCGGTTAGTTCACACGATATAGGGAGTAACACGAGTGTTAGGTGGTGGCTGATCGGATGCCTCGTGCTGACTGCATTCACATAACTGTATGATGGAGAACAACCGTGTTTCAAATCGTTGTGGAAATGGACCAGTGACAAAATTACTCGCATATCTTTACGATTGTACATCCGGTCGGACTGTGGGAAGCGAAAACCCCGCTTATCTGACCAGTTTAGGAACGAACTCGGGAGAAAACGAATGTTCTTGCAGTACAGAGAACAGCTTATCCTCGGCGACTGATTTACACTCTGATAAAGGGGCTATCGTTGTACGGGAAAGGTGCTCTATAACCCATTCAACATTGAACTAGATAGCTCAGGAAATGCGATGTCGTCATAATCGGGTATCAACTCAACGTCAACTGAGTTCAATGGCCAGCCTCAGATCGTTCCATTCGCACAATATAGGGAGTAATACGCGTGTTAGGTTCCTGGAGAATGATGCGACTTTTCATAGGATTGATCACATGATGCGGTAGTTAAATACGGCTATTGTCAAGCGCAAAGTACCTTTTCATAATGTCCTCGAATAGGCTGAACACATTTCAGGAATCGTCGTCAAAAGGAATGGAAAAGAGAAATAAGACTGATAGGAAATTGAGCAGCCTAGAATGCAGGAAATGCATCGTGAGAGTGACCAGATTTGCAAGCACAGCGGTTGCTGTGTTATGCCTACGAGTCACCAAGTGGTACGCTGTCATCCCGAAAGGCGATACCGGCAAAATTTCATGAGTCCTGTGCGTTTGTTGTTCCAAATGCCCTTGTGGTTGGATAAACCACATTGCCGTTTTATTTTGAGAACACAATCAGATCGACGAATGAACCGTTTTCGATTAAGATATCAACCGGCCTGTAAATTGGTGGAAAGAAATATCGGGCATTTCAACAACTACGTGAGCATGGTTAGGTAAGTCAATCGGTAGGGAAGGATGTGAACCAGCAAGCGGGGGAGGGGCTAATTAAACTGAGGTAGTGTCATTCGGTTAGTTAACGCACACACTGTGACCACGACAACCGCAAATCCCGTCCTTGTTAAGGGATTGAACAGGCGTATGTCTCTGCTGTGGCTAATATGGTCTCTGATATTGGAGTGCTTCTAATATTCACCACTTTTTGGGCACAATAA